TTGTTGAATCGATAACACTGTATTGGACACCCTCTGACCTGAGGGGCCCATCACTAGATAGTATTAACTACTATCTGATTAGTAGATTAGTAGCATTGGAAAAAGTGCAGAAAAGGGCAACTAGCATGATAAAAGGGTTCAAACACTTTCCCTATGAAGAAAGGTTAAAGCGCTTGGGGCTCTTTAGCTTGGAGAAACGATGACTGAGGGGTGACATGATTGAAGTTTATAAGATTATGCATGGGATAGAGCAGGTAGAGAAAGAAGTACTTTTCTCCCTTTCTCACAATACAAGAACTCGTGCGCACTCCATGAAATTGCTGAGCGGTCAGGTTAGAACAGATAAAAGGAAGTCCTTCTTCACCCAAAGAGTGATTAATACATGGAATTCACTACCACAGGAAGTGGTGGCGGCTACAAGCATGGATGGCTTCAAAAGGGAACTAGATAAGCATATGGAGCAGAGGTCCATCAGTGGCTATTAGCCACAAGGTATAGATAGGGACTCAGGGGCAAGTGATGCTCTGTCTTCTTGGTGCTTAGGGGGGTCAACAGTGGGAGGGCTTCTAGTGTCCTGGCCCCACTGGTGGACCTCCTGATGGCACCTGGAATTTTGGCCACTGTGTGACAGAGTGTTGGACTGGATGGGCCATTGGCCTGATCCAACATTGGCTTCTCTTATGTTCTTACTAAGTCAGGACCTACAGGTACCTGGTACTTAAGACATATCTTAAAATAGATTTAAGATAGTGGGTCAGGATGCTATCTTCTTTTATTATTGTTGTTAATTTAGGAGGGTTTTGTCTTTCAAAAAAACCCTGAAGAAAACCCGGATAGGCTATGAAAGAAATTTCAGTCTTTTGCTATATATAAGAGAGACTGGAACAACTACAGCTTGGTGTAGTGGTTAAGTGTGCGGAGTCTAATCTGGGAGAACCGGGTTTGATTCCCCACTCCTCCACTTGCAACTGATGGATGACCTTGGGCAAGCCATAGTTCTGTCAAAGCTGTCCTTGAAAGAGCAGTTCTTGAAAGAGCTCTCTCAGCTCCACCTACCTCACAGGGTGTCTGCTGTGGGAAGGGGAAGGGAAAGGAGTTTGTAAGCCACCCTGAGACTCCGAGTGAAGGGCGGGGTATAAATCCAATCTCTTCTCTTCTCCATACCCCTTAATGATAGGCTGCATCTACTAATACCCCTCTTCCATGCGACAATTAAATGCACATGAGCCCTGACCTCCTTGTCACCTAGACCCTAGTGACAAGAATGGGAGGAATAATGAAATGATTAAAAGTTAAGTGAGCCCAGTTTTGCTGGAGGTAGTTAAAGTCGGGCCCAGAGTCTGAAAAATGTTGAAGACTTCTAACTTGAAAAGTATTATGGAAAATTCCCTCATCATCATCATCCTTCTGTACTGCCTACTCTTGGCCATATTTTCTTCATGATTAATCATAACAGTCACTAATTACTTTGATTTCAGTGCTAGTGGACTAACTCAGTATTGTTTCATCTGTCACAACAAAAAGGGCATCATTCCAAGTAAGCCTATAACTTTTGCTTTGTGTGGTTTACATTTGGTTGATGACAAATGATGTCGTTCCCTTTCAATATTATGCAGCCTGAGCAGCTATTGTTGGCAAAAATCTACACCTAAATCTTCAGCATCAAGAGTGATATTACTAGAATTTCAAACATTTTGACCCAACACAACTTGGCTAGATTTTTATAGCATGTCACGTATTTAACAAAAAAATATATGATTTGACTCAAACACTGAACAGCTATCCTCAATTCACAAACCTGTTCTCTGTACATAACAACCACACTGGTCTAATGGCAAACAGTGATACTGCCCAGCAACGTCTAAAGGCAAAACCAGATGTTACTGGCAATGTCTGGTATCTGACAAAAGCAACAACCTTGCATCTCCTCTGTCTCTCTCTGCCTGGCATGGAATAAATAAGCAACATTACCACACTTAGTTTTCCTACCACCATTCTACTTTGCTATGGGGGAGGGGGTAGGAATTTTTAAAGCATTATGCAACAGTTTTCACTATATTTTGCCAAGTAGAGAAGAAGAGAAGTTGCAAGACTGCTGCTTTTGGCAAGATGCCACATTTTGCCAGTAACCTACAACAGTTACCTTCCTAATTCTTAGAAGCAAAATACGCTCATCAAATTTCTCATGACAAATTCTGTTGCTTCTGTATTCTACAGAATTGTAAATGGTGCATATTCTATCATGATGTATTTTATAGCCAAATGGGAAGCCAAAGCAAAGCCAGGTCAGAAAGGAAGTCTAGCATGTCCCCACCTTGCATATCAGATGAATTTCATGTACAATGTTTGCATGCTCAGTTCCTGACACCTGCAGTTGAAGCAGTGGTGGGGGGCAGAGAAGTGCTCACAACCCACCCTAGTATGGGGTCACAAAACTCCGTGACCATCATTTTATTTTATTGGCGCATCCATGTGTGTATGTGTCTGAAGTGGTGAGGGAAGATAATTGCTGTGTTGAAGGACAGGTAGGGGAGAGGAAGTCACTACTGTACTGCTTCAGTGAAGTATAAGAGGGTGCAGGGAGGACTGCAAGGGTGAAGCACTGGGTTATTTCTAACTTATGTGTACTCTGAAGATGTATATTAAAGAACGAGTAAACTTTTTCTGAGGAATGCTAGTTATAGTATGCTGCAGTCCATGCACACGCACTCCGTCTCAGATTTCTTCTGCCCACACCTAGAAATCTGTGCTGCTAAGAGCAAGCCACTGCTGACACGGTTCTTTGCCAGCACAGATGCTGTAGCAGGCACCTGGTGCATCCATATGCATTTGTGTGATGTAGCAAGGGAAGAGAATTGCTGATGTGAAAGCACAGCTAGGGGAGGAGGATTCACTTTGGACACAGAGAGATCACAGAGAGGAAGAGGTTTGCCATGATTAACGGGCACCCCTTCTAATGTGCTATTCTCTATTAGCTGTCTGGGACAGAAGCCGCTCCTGTTGCCAACCACCACTACCCATCCTTCTTCAAAACTGTACTGAGAGGATATGGCAAGAGCACATGCAGAAGGAGAGGGATGGAGCAAGCTGCATTCCTGAGGGAAGTTTGCTATGAAGAACCACTTGCAAATACAGATGACAACTTTTGATAGCTGGCTTAAGCCATCACGTCTGCTTAAGTAGCCTCTCTGTATGCCCAAGTAGAAGAATGAGGAGGTAAGTGAGTTGACAGCAGTTATACTGACATTCAGCACAGCACAGGACAATGTTAGATCAGGGGATAGAGATGTGAAGGCCCCGAAAAATACTGGGGGGAAAAAACCAACCCGTGATTATGGAACGTTTTATTTTAACATGATGAATAAAATATTTTAAGACAAGGTGTTCAAATATTTTCCAAATCATTTCTAAAAAATATGTATGGTAACAGATTAATCTAATTTCTGTGCACTGAGGACAAGCAAGTCCTAGGTTACAAACTGAATTTTATAATAATTGTTTGGATACACTATATTTCTAATATGCTAGTTGTGATCATTTCATGCCAAGTAAAATTGTCCATAGCCATATTTTATGTTCCTAAAGTAACAGAATGACTTTCAATCTGGAAAAGAAAAAGTGCTAATGCAGCATTTTTTTCAATTTTTCTGAAAATTTCCATTTCCCCCCCAAAAACTGGGTTTTTTCCCGAGCTTCAAAATTTCCGGAAATTTTACATCTCTATCAGGGGAAGCAGAGACCTAGGTCCAACTGCTCTTTCAGTCATGAAGCTTGCTGGTTTACTTGGAGCCATTCACACTCTCTCTCTCAGCTTAACATACCTCATAGGGCTATTGTGAGGCTACAAGTGAAGCGCGTTGAACCCTATATACCACTATGAGCAACCTAGAGCAAGGGTTGTATAAAAATGCTACACAGAATACCTACTCAGTGATGAAAGACAGATAACCCTATACATTAGAATCATAGAATCACCAAGCTGGAAAGGATCTCCAGGGTCATCTAGTCCAACCCCCTGCACAATGCAGGAAATTCACAACTACATTATTAGAAGTGTTTTATTATTTCTTCACCAGTTTCACAGCTGAGGCTGGAACTCCCTGAGGCAGTGCCAGACTGTTGGCAGCCCACAAAGTTCAGATAAAGCTTTTTGTTCTCTCACTCACAGATGAATGTGAGAGACTGCAAGTTGATATTCTGAGAGAAAGATCCACCATCAGAAAAATTGATTTTTCACTACATTCAGTACAGAACCCTGGTATGTAACTGAACACCATAGAAAGTAATTTGTATCACTATCAGAACTGCTATTTCTTAGCAAAGATGAATGCATACCTGTAAATCACTCAATTATGTTGTAAACTGTTGCTTACTTGTTTTTACTATTGTTACAAATCTTTTTGAAGCTTTGTTGTTAGCTTTTAATATGTATTTGGACATGAAAACCTAATAAAAAGTATTATACACAAAAAAAGAACTGCTATTTCTTTGAGTGTCTCTTGAAATTGCTTACAAGATTATAGCAGTTCACAACCCACAATCTCACTGTCTTAGCTAACTTAAGACAGAATATTCAACCGCTTGTCCCCACTACCCATTTCATCATATTTTGCAAAATCAAGGAAACATCCTGGGGATGAGAGGTAGAGCGGGAAAGGGAAAGAAAGAAGAGCTGTTTCTGAGAAGCTCACATTTTTACTGGGTAATAAATGCTCAAGGATGGCTTATTTAGTGCCTGAAAGTAGCAGCCACCACTGTTCTCTGTCTCTCGTATAATAATATCCTCCAGATACAATGTCAGAGTGCTGTTAAGTGTTATTTTTATTCTGTATGCTCACTTGACTTCTGTTCCCATTTCTGAACAGCAACATCATACTTGCACTGTGATCTGGATTTTAGTTCTGAGACCGATCTAATGAAGCTGTCAGATAAATTCATGCACATATAACCACAGCAAAAAAAGCAATTAGCAGCCAGTGGAACAGATACCAAGAACTTACCTTGCAGAAGAAATTCCTCTCTTGTTGAGGTCTGCCCGCACTTTCTCCCCTATGTGTCTATAAATCTCCACAATTGCCAATATTGCAGCATCTCTCACCTGCAAATATACAGTGCAAGCATTATAACCTTTGAAGAATATAGGCATGAAAATGAATGTGCTGTACTTCGTCTTCTACCCTTTTCAATCAGCTGTTTACCAGTTACACTTAGTAAAGTAGTAAAGAAAAAACAGCGAGGAACAAGGCTACGTTAATACTAGGGCTTTTCAAACACAATGAACAAGGAAAGTGGGTGGGGGAGAGAGGATCTGTAATTACAACTCTGGAGCTGCCAAATCTTGTTCAAGATACTTGTTTTGAAAAGAAAAATGCACCTTCTGATACCCTGTGCTATACCGCGCTACACAAAACATTACTGATCTACAGTCAAAGTAAGTTTCCTCTCTATGACTATCACTAGTTGAACAACATGTCAGTAACGTTGTTTGCTACAAGGCATTTCACCAGTCCCTTTACTACACTTGCACTCTCTGGCACCCCATCATATCCATTCCTACTTTAAACAGTGCAAATTCTGTAAAAAGATCTTAAGCCCTTTCTTGCTTCATACATGTTCCCCATTTCCACCATGAATCTACACTTCTGATTTTATATACAATATCATCATCATTGGCATTTTAGGTTCAATAAAGGAGCTTTACCAACTCCTCTGTACCTTGCATCCATCCCTTCCCTGAATCAAAATAAGAAAAGCTTAGTGCAGCAGAATTCTTCACTAAGCCCTGAAAATTTCTATGTTATACTACATACTTTTATTCTTTTCTTTCTATAATCCTAAAATATCATAACCCTAACATAAAATATAAAAAGCTAAATTTGAGGAGATCTCTATACTAAGGGTTCCATGAGAAAGTTGCCTCATCACTGTTCCCTTCCATGGTGACAGGTAATGGTACTGAGACAGACAGCTTGTTCTACTTGTGTATGGAAAGGAATTCAACCTCTCAGGCCAGGCTGGGAAGAACTCACACTATTCTGAATCTCCCACTTCAAGAGTCAATGAAGAAACTGTACCTCCTCTGCCTCCCACCATCAAAAAAACAATATAAACTCACTTTAGGAGCAAGATCAAGTAGGAAATGCAAACAGTAAACAATCAGCATGTATGCGTTTCCTGGGAACAACAATAATCCTTACCTGGCTATTGGAGTCTCCAAACAAGTTGCATAAGTGTGGCACCAATTTGCTGAGAACTAAGGATTGTGCGCCATAACTAGAAAAGTCAAAAGGAAGTGTAAATTTCCTTCGTCATGAAAATATTAGCAAATGACAATACAAAACAGCATTTCTATCTATTCCTTATAATCTTTAGATATTTTGGGTAAATTCCAGGATGAGCGTTTAGAGTAAATAATTATGGTTCTCCCCTCCAATTTTAAGTCTTTTAAAATCTGCTACATTAGAGGAAAAGAACATGCATCACCAGAGAATTTTAGTAGATTATCTCCATATGAATAATACACATACTTGTTTAAGGTTGCGATGAGACACAGACACACTCCTTCTCGTGACCGATAGTTCTTGTGCTTAAAGCCAGCAGCAAGGCGATCCCAAATGTACTATTAAAAATAAGAAAGTAGGTAAATTATTGAAAGGTGATACATATTCTGTGATGCCAGTGCTCATGCTAAATGCATAGCAGAAGCTATAAATTATCCCTGCGATTAAATATTATGTGAATGTTTACAACAGATCTTGGGACAAAAAGTTTAAATCAGGCTATTTTAGATCTATCCCCAATTTTATATATTAAAATTGGAACACATAACACCTCTACTAAGATAAACCAAAGATCTGGTCAGATAGTCTTTACATTATTTAGCAAATGGAAAGATACAACTAGAGCAAATAAAGGCTTAAATCAATATTCGTCCCATTTTAATCCTTCCCCACTTAAAAAAAAATCTTCCAGTTTTGACTTCGAAATTCCCCTCAGACTGTCAAATCTCTTTAAACTGATTTTAAAAAACAGTGTATTTGCATTGCACACTTATGCTCCTGCTATCTGTCCTCCAATGTTGCGTCTGTGACGATTTCTGGATCTTTCTTGCATTACAAATGTCTTGATCTACACTCATTTGCTCCCATGCACGTTCCCATCTTTCGCCTGCCTTTATCCCTTCCTTCCTTGCTTTATCTTTATCATTCCTGACCTCCCAGGAGCTCTAAAGTTCTATATCAGAACTGCCAATGCAGTAAACTTGAAGCTTACAAGGCTGGATTTGCAGTGCTATTTCAAAGCAAGCAGGCTCCAACTG